TATTTTTTTCTCTAAAAAAAAACCTTCGAATTTTCGTATACCCTTTTTACAATCCTTGCGAAAAAAAGGACTCTTTTTTCGAAGTCATATTTTTTTTTATGAGTTTATTGCTTTAGAGGAGGGGTTTTACAGCGTGACACATAACAACCCTTAAGACATCGTTTAAGGTCAAATCGATGTTTTTTGGGACTCACGTGCGCTTAGCAAAAAAAAATATTGCCACTTGTAAAAAAGAGATTTAGAAAAAAAATTTTGTGGTCAATACCGATACTGATTCATGTGGCACAACATCGCTTTTCCTTTCTATATCAAAAACTGAAAACTGTTTTTAATTTTTCAAAAAATTTTTAATAATTTTTTTGCATTCAAATATTATTTAAAAGTAATTTATGGGAAACTGTTTTTAAATTTTCTTTTTTATTTACAAAATGAGTTTTTGAAAATAATATCAAGAAAAATATTTATTATATTATTTGATGAGAGGAAATAAAAATTTTATTCGGAAGGGAAAAATATACAAGTGGGTAAAGCGCGCCCGGCGGTACTTTTGCCTATTTCAAATATAGCTCTATTCATATTTTTCTCTCGGTTATGGTCAAGGTTCCATAAAAGGGTGTGTTACAAGGACCATCCATCCCCTCAATCCATCAATTTTATGACTGTTTGCAAATTCTCTCCTTTCGCAAAGGCTTATTTAGTCAATAGAAATGTCGAGATAATCAGTCAAGGACCAAGGTCGTATGCCTGGTTTTACAATTTAACCCTAATTAAAGAGGTATATATACAAACAGTATACTTTTTCCTCAAAATAGAGAGACCCTCCTCTCTATTTGAGAATAGTCCTTATATTCTCGTCACTGTTACGTACTTTTATGTCCACTTTTATGCAACAGTTTGCAAATTTCATTTTCAGCCTGTCTTCTCTTACTTAATATATGTCATTTAGACAATATTTAGAAAGTGTATATTTCGTCTTTAGATATAATATATTATATATACGCAACCATATTCCCCGGGGGGACAAAAATTTTCATGGACTTTCTATAATTTAGGATCGTCCTACAAGATTCTTGGTTATTTCTATTTTTATTAATTTCTGTTTTTCCTATTTAATTTTTTGGGTATCATTTGTTTTTACTTTTCTAAATTTTCAGAAAAAAAATATTCCTCAACATTTCGTGATTTTAATATGTGATTTCCATTGAAGATTTTCAAAAATATTGTTTAATCAATAACTCTATACCAAAAAAAAAAAATTGTTCGAACCAATAAAGGTAAAAGAATGAAATTACATAAAATGAAAGAATTGTTAGTTTAGGGTTACATGATTATTGCACATTATCGTTTCTGTAAGAATTTAACCACCACGTGCCTTCTCAACCCTTTGAGAGAATGTTAAAGGTATCTATTTCGTCTTTCTTCCACTACTCGAACTTTTCATACCTGATGTAATTACAACTCCTTAGGTAAGGATTATAACTCTTTTCAGGTATAGTTTATATCTTAAAGTGACAAATCTTTCGCCCATACAAATTCACAAGAAATAATTTTTTTTTTTTATTACATTCAGAAGCAGTGAAAATTTAAAAATTTGTTACAAAATACATACAAATGGAAATTTTATTTAATGCGAAATAAATTATATCTGGTGTGTAAATTTTAATAAAAATTTAAAAATTATTGTATCTAATGACTTTTAAGGGATTAAAACGCTAATGAGTATATGCTAATGAATTTCTAATGATTGTATTTAACAAATCTGGTAGAGATTCATAATATTAAAGATAAAATCGAGGATAAAATACAAAAGTTGTAAAACTGAGAAAATAATACAAAATGTAATTAGTGGAAAATCATTTTCTCGTTACACCTGTTTCGAAAAAATCATGTTTTTAAATCCATATATAGAAACCTAAGAGACCCCTTTGTATATATATATATGTATACAAAAACACTTGAAATAATAATCGTTTTGGTATACAGGCAAAACATTAATCCTCTTCTATATTGCTATTAGAGGTTGTAGGGATTTTATTCAATAGATTCCACACCGAATTTGATGGCCACAAAACACCTCTAGACTCCACTATGCTTTTGGAGTTTATCATAATGAATAATCATACACAAAAGCCCTTTCCGGGTTTTGTAGCAGGTAAAGGGTTGGGGAACCCCATGAAGCTTTAGAACCGCATTTCCACCCAAAAAATCATCTCTCTCTCTCTCTCTCTCTCTCCCTTTGCTGCATATCAATCGGTCAAGAAACCCTATCCAAAAAAAAAGCCGTCATATTTTTTTTGCTTCCTGACACAAAGACTTTTTTTTATCTTTTTTTTTACATTCTGTTTTTTTTCCACCCTTCTAAGTACATACAGCACAAGTTTATGAGGGTAATTTTTCAATCTACCCGCAGCTAATTTATGTGTTTCTTATATCTGACGAAATGTCGATTAAAGAAAAAAGTAAGGAACAAAAAAAGTATAATTTTTTTCGACACAAAAAAATTTATTTTTCTCTTTTGAAACAGTATAAGAAAAAAAGAAATTCTAAATTGCTTCTTATTTATACTGTATACATATATACACAATGTACTACTACAATTATTTGAATAATCAGCCTGAAGGAAAACAATTAGAAGATAAATATTGTTGAAGTAAAAGAAAATTGGCGTTACAACTCGATTTCGATGTCGAAACTTGATCAGTTCTATATATATTGGCATCCTATCAATGTCTTTTGCATTGGATCGGTTTATTGCTGCAGGCCACGTGCAAACTTGCGCGCACATATATACACAACAAATACATGTATAACCATTGACTGACAACCTACCAATTTCGTATTATTATTGGTTAAGCAAATAATGCCGAAAGCGGTGACTCAGAATTGCACACCATTCAATGCCTCGGTCATTTTCCAGTATTTCTGGTATGCAATGTTTTTTTGCTTTTTGTTTTCTGTATTCTTTGTAAACAATTTAAAAACAAATATTGTTTTTATATAACTTAAGAATCATCAAATTCGTATAAATTTCATAATCCAAATATATAATGACGTAATTTTATTAAATATCTGCCTTCTTTTTTACGGAGGAAAAAATATTTTCCGTACGCGGAACCGTTTTCCAAAATTCAAAATGGCGGACCCAATATGGCGGGTGACCTTGATGCTTGTTATATACTTAGTAGTTTTTAAGAGTCCTTGATTCGTAATTAGTGGCTTCAAAACACCGTAACTACCAAGTTTCATTAAAAGGACCCCGCACTAAATACACAGAAAATGGCTTACGGTTAAATTTGGCTATATTTCGAGAATTTTTAGTTGAAAGTGTTCTGATTAAAAAAAAGGGTCCAGAAGTCACTGAATTAATTTTTTAAATAATAGTTTTTAATAATATTCACTTTTGAACAAGTGATTTGCCCACTTAGATATGTACGTAAATTCATTACACAGAAAATTAAAAGGCATTAAAATAAGCTGCAACACTTATTATTTTAATCCAATTTTGCTTATTTTAATACCAAAATGGATTAAAATAAACAAAATTGGATTAAAATAATAAGCGTTGCAGCTTATTTTAATGCCTTTTAATTTTCTGTGTAGGCGCAGCGTTGTTTCGACATTTTTTTTAGCCAACATCCGCCGAAATTTTCACATGAGATTCGCAATCAGCATAAGCTTAAAAATCCGTTCTATATACAAAAAAAGAAAAAATCGAATTTGAAAAGGGCTTTAAAAGGGAATTACAACTCTTTATTTTTTTTCCCTCCATTTCAAGCGCGATGAGATTTCGATAAGAATCCTGTGATTATTCTCAAGAAACATGATTATCGCTGCCATTCGCCTGTTTCAGGAAGCCTCTTCTCATCTGTATATATAAACTCTTATTGCAGAGCCACTCGTTACGCATCATATATCACGGCCCAATAACCATCTCATATCTCTGGCGAGTATATAGCGGGAGGTGCGGTAAGCATTTTGCGATTCTTCAACGAAATCAGATTATTCTCAACGTACAATATGCAAGCCGCGGGTATAAATATAAACACATATATATATATATATATGTGTGTACAATAAAACAGGGGCGTACGTGCGCTCAAGTAACGGGCACATACATATACTATATATATATATGCAACAACACACTTTGGTGCGACGAGTTCTTTATTTTTCGCGCAACGTGTAATAAGGTGTAGAGAGTAAGGGGCCAGTACACAGGTCTAATCTGATATCTCAACACAAGGCGAGCGAATATTAATGCCGTCTTGGCTGCTACAAGAATCCTGCTGTTTATCGACTTGCGGCCCCGACTGCTTTTATCCCGGCCACCCGGCCACGACATGTATACGCAATGCCCCGGCACCCCATAAAGCTAATGAGTCATGGGTTCATAGGTCTTTGCAACAGGTGCGAATGCCAACCAATACACATGTGTGTGCTAAAAATGGAGCAAGACCTACATTTACGATAAAAGCATGTCGATAGATTTTTAATATATATGTATATATAAAGTTGCGACAGGTCATTAAAATAGCAAATTATAAACGAATCCTTCTGGAGATTCAAAGAATTCAAAGGAATGCAAAAAGGTGCATTTTTTCAACTAGCAAATAGGATTTAATTCAATTTTTTTCATGACAACAGTTTCCATAGCAACCGTTACCATAGCAACAAAATGAATTGTTGTACTTATTAAAGCTGGAACCAACAGATTTTGTTTTGTCGCTACAACAAATCTGTACTGTTGCACTAACAATATACTTGTTACTGCAACAAATTTTTAATTGTTACAACATTTTATTGTTCCTTATAACAAATTTGTATTGTTGTAACAATTAAAAATTTTTTGTAGTAACAAGTATATTGTTAGTGCAACAAAACAGATTTGTTGTAGCGAGAAAACAAAAATCTGTTGGTTCCAGCTTTAGTAAGTACAATAATTAATTTTTCTCCGTGTAAACTTACATAGATTTTTATATGCATTTTAGTAATTCACTTACCTTGTTTTCCTTACAATTAGTAAAATCCAGTTGGAGGCACAAGAGAAGATGTACAATAGATTCTGAAAAAAAATTATTTCAATTAATATCGTAACTAATTATCAACTAATACATGTATTAGCAAATGTTTGTTTCTAACATTTTTTGTTTTCTATACAGTTTTACCGTGATTAGAAATTCGAATTGTTGCACGAACAAAAAAATTTATTGCATCAACAATCCTCAGTTTTGTATTAACAAGTACCTACAATCAAATTCTGACAATTTAAATACAAATTTTAAGTATCATTGGAAGTAAATCCGATGTACCAACAACGGATAATTTTAATAAATCATTAATATTAAATTAATTATCAACTTAAAATACTACCAAAATTTTCACTACTGGTACCAGTACTGCGCCATTAAATTTTTTGATAGGGATATTATTAAATTTTGTAAGTTACCATAAAAAAATTGCTCTTAGTAAATTTGGACCAATTTTTAAGGCTGAATTTACGCAATGCAATTTTCATTATAACAAATAGTGCTGATTTTAAGACTCATCTTAACACAGAAAATTAAAAGTCATTAAAATAAGCTGCAACGCTTATTATTTTAATCCAATTTTGCTTATTTTAATACCAAAATGGATTAAAATAAGCAAAAAATTGGATTAAAATAATAAGCGTTGCAGCTTATTTTAATGCCTTTTAATTTTCAGTGAAAACAAAATTTTCTTTTTACTCTGTAATTATATAGATGAAATGCATGGCAGAGAATAGCTCCTAAAAATTGCCAAAATTTCCCAGAAAAAAAGAAACTAAAAAAGATTGTCTACTACAAGAAATCAAGTAATTATTAATTAATGTTTCAACATTAATTTGAAAACAAAGTAAAAAATAAAATAAAATTGGATGCGAGAGAGAGAGAGAGATATATCCGCTGGCACGCGTGTGATTCACGCGTCTGCGGCAAGCGACGCTCTAAATAAATTCGTGTGCGAGGCCGCAGCAGGTAGTTAGCTCTCTGCATCCCCACAAGCAATCGGCTGTGACGATCGATGTCCGGTTCACCACGCGCCTCACACACAAACCATAAAAGCAGTGCAACCTCCATAACCGGCCACCACGGATGCTCACAGCCAAGTGAGTGTCCTTTCCCCCGCCATGGAACATCCATGTATCCGTAAGGCCGTCGTGCGGCACGCTCAAACATTGCAAGATATAAGAAAAGAGAAGGGAGAGATTCACTTCTTCAACCAATTGGATTTCGTCAGTCGTGCGCCGCAACGAATCGACAAACTTTCATTGGATACCTTCATAATCCATACCCCCACCAATTCTCCCACTTTTATGTATGTGTGTATCTTTCACCCACAGTCCTTTTCCACTTGTTCACCCTTTTTACCTAATACTTGTTCTTTTCTATATTTGTAATTCCAATTTTTTTTTCTATTCACTCCTTAATTTCTGTATTTTATCATTTTTTTTCTTTTAGATAATAATACATTGAGAATAGTATATTTGACCTTTGTTCAGTGCCAAGCGGAGCAAACCAAGATACACACACACACGTAGTGCGAAACGAATGCCTACATATAGCGGAGAGAAGGATTTCAATATAAGGTGGGGGTGGAAATCAGGCACGTGCCAGAATAGCGAGCATGCGTGCGTCAGTCGGTGCGACACTTGGTTATTTTTCACAAATGTTACTACATACATGCAACACAGTCTTGTGACGTCTGCGTGATGCCAAGTGTCAGACATTCTATATCAATTTAATGGCGCCTGTTTTCTACAGATAAAAAAAAAAGGCTTTAGTTATTAATCGTCGTCACGCTATACAGTGATGAAAAAAAAAAAAAAATACTCATCATACCTCCGCCTTTTTAAAAGCCGATAAGCACTTTTATTCCATCCGTTTGATAAAGACATCTAACTTTTATTATCTGTACTTATTATTATTATTATTGTTATTACTATTATTATTATTATTTTGTTATTAATTGGCTTTTTATAAATCCAATTTTTTTTATTTATATCCGAAAAATAAATTAAAAATAAAATTGAATAGTAAAATTCTAATTGAAGAAGCGTGCGTCAATGAGCCATCCACATTTGGCGATACATTTCAAAGAACGATACACACACACACACAGGTATGGTGGTGAAGGCTTCCTGACCCCAGCGAGCACAGTTAATAGCGCCCCCCCCCCTCTTTCCTCCCACTACCCTTTAAAAATCTGGTGGGGGCCTCGTGTGGGTCCGTAAGGCTGCAAGCCGACGCATTGCCAAGACACTAAGGTGGGGGGGAACGAGAATGGTGGGGCACACGCAAAGGGCCTTAAAGGCAACCGAGTTTTGTCCGGAGTATTGGAATTTCCCTAACTTGGTGGGGGTAAGTCCAGGATAAACCGTCACGCGCTTCCCCTACCATGAGAATTCTTTCATCCCCACTTATTCTCTCATGGGATGGATTCGAGCATTCCATCGCTTGCCACGTTCTAGCAGGAGAGGCGACAGAAAACGTTCAGCGCTCGATTCGAATCAGTCGAGCTCTGACGCGCCTTGTGAGAGGTCGATCAAAATAAACGTCGTGCTTAGTGAATTATTTTCTAAGTCAAAAACCTTGTGGATTTTTCTTCTTTGGAAGAATATAAAAGTGTTTTTTTAAAAAAAAACAGTGCAACTTGACTTTTATTGGATTACGTTCTTCTTCTTTTTGGGTGTTGTGAATTTTTCCATTTTTTTTTTGTGATTGGAAAATTTTTTTTTTTTTCTTATTGAAATGGTGACTGGAGTTGGTGCAAATATGCCAACCGGGGGTGTAACTGTTGGTGCAACCCCACCGACGCAACACGTGCCCCAAGAAGCGGGACAACCACCTGCACAAACCACCACTAATTCCTCTTCGCCCACCACAACAACCACTCCAAGAAGATCGGGCGAAAATCGACGGGTTAGTTTCATTACTTCGATTATTTCGCCAAGAAAAAAAGTTGCCTTTTTTTTTGCTTAGGGCAAATTAGCAATTTTTCTACAAAGTTAAATTTCACATTTTTCTCTAAAATTTTGTTGATCTGTAGACGATGATTTAGAACAGACAAATAGTTACTTTTTATAACAGATACACTTAGGATTCTGTTGAATAAAGTTACTAAGCGAAGAGAATAAATTTTTCTATTAAAACAAAAAAAAAAATAATTTTTTAATGTTCGAAAAAATTAAAACGATGGGACAAAAGCTTAATTGGATCATTTTTTTCTGATTACAGAGTAACAAGCCGATAATGGAAAAGAGACGTCGTGCCCGCATCAACAATTGTCTGAATGACTTGAAAACTCTCATCCTCGATGCAATGAAGAAAGACGTAAGTACCTTTTATTCTATTTCATCTGATTTCCTTTCACGAATTCAATTTATATATCCTTCTGGTAACATTTTTTTTCTTTTAATTTCTTTAAAAAAAAAAAACTAACGAACAATTTAATTTTTGATTACAGCCAGCCAGACATTCAAAATTGGAAAAAGCTGACATTCTGGAAATGACAGTTAAACATTTGGAGACACTCCAGAGGCAACAGGTTGCATTGGCGGCAGCGACGGATCCCAACGTTTTGAATAAATTTCGCGCTGGTTTCACGGAATGCGCTGGTGAAGTTGGCAGATTTCCTGGACTTGAAGCATCAGTGAAGAGACGTTTGATGGCCCATTTGGCATCATGCCTGGGACCAGTGTCCGATAATAATGGAACAGTCGTTCAAACAACCACCACAACAACAACAACATCTCAACAACAAGTTGTTCAACCGGCGCCACCAACGGCACAACTTCAACTTCATATTCTCCCTCAAGTTGATGCACCGCCACGAATTCAGGTCCAACAGTCAAATGGAATTGTTTTCGCCAATACCAATGGTCTTCAAGTTGTACCAACACGATTACCAAATGGTGATATTGCCCTTGTTCTACCAGCCGGGGCAAAAGCAACACCCGTTACATCGCCCGCCACCTCACCACCACCAAGTTCACCAATAATGCCAACATTAATTCCCATTCCCCAAAGAACAGCGAGTACTGCATCGGCGTCATCGTCAACGTCATCAACAAGTTCCACCTCAACGTCAGCGGCAAGTCCAGTTGCATTTGAAGCACCACCTTCCAATTTTATGGCAAGGTCACCACAATACACAATTAGTCATCGAGACGTTGCCACCTCACCAGCCAATGGTTACACAAGTGATCCCGAATTTGATCCTCGTGTCTACAGTCCACCACTTCAAAAACCCTTGGCTCTTGTGATGAGAAAAAGTGTAATGCCCGAAATTGAAGATAAACCCTGGAGACCGTGGTAGATAAAAAGTGTTTTCATTCCATAAAAACTGTTACCAAGTCAACAAATTATTGTTTCTTCATCATATATTATTTTCGGCCAGTTGCGTTTCGGAATCAGTGCCTTGTAAATAATTTTTTTTTAATTATTGCGTTAATCTTCATACAAATGAAGATATTGTATATTTTGTTTCTCAGTGATATTTTTTTGTCTACTTAATTTATATAAAAAAAAAAATAAATCATCAGATCTTCTCTTCAAAAGCATTTTTTTTTGTGATTATGCTTTTTTAAAATAGCTTTTTCATATATTGAGAGAGAGAGATGAATTCTGTTGGTGTCATGTAAATAATTCTTATTGTTTTTAAGTGCCTTATGCAACAATAATCACCGATGTCTTCCATTCTGTTTTTAGAGAGAAAAAAAAGAATATTTTTCGTTAAATCCAAAACGTCAAAAATACGTTTGTAATTTGACGAGATTATAAATATATATTATATATACGTTTTTGTACAGATGACTTTGAAGATTAATTTAAAGTCAAAATTTATTATAGAGTTTTAAGTATATTGATAAAAAGTATAAATGTGATGTCTGAAGAAATGGTATGTTCTATTTATATTTATGTGAGTGCAACGAATAAAATTTATTCATCTATTGTCAAAAATAGAAAAAAACCACGCTTATTATGAGATAGGAGAATCAAATAAATATTGATCTCTTTATTAAAATTACACAATGATCTATTTTATTTTTTCCTTCCTTTCGTTATAAGGTTCTTTGAATAGAATTTTAAAATATCAATTTATATATTTTTTTTTCACATAACAATTTAAATAACAATCGCTTCAAAATTCAAAAAAAAAAAAAATTTATTTACCTAATACAGACAAAATATATTCTTAAAATAAAGATAAGGGCAATTTTCTCTGAAAATAATAAAAAGAAGTTTTTTGGATCAAAAAATACGGTTTTTAATAAAATAGGAATAAATTCTTAAAAATACTTTTTTTGCAAAGAAATTTTCGTTTTATATTATAAAAAGTATAAAAAAAATTAAGTGGACTTGACAAAATCCCTTTTTTTTGTTATTGTAATGGTGAGAACTGAATCGTGGGATTTTGATTCGTTTATTTTTTTTTTTTTTTGCAAATGATTCAAAGTAATATAAGAATTCACGGATGGCCGATTTTGTGGTTTGTCTATCCTGTCTGAATCTGTCTTGACGATTTTTGCAAAGATTCAACAAAGTGGTGTCATCTCGAGGCAGATATCGAGAACTAAACCGTCGTCGTCGTCTTAAAAACCGGTTTTTTACCCTCAAACGAATTGAGGGAGGACAACATAGCCCTTTCTTTTTTAGGGCCTTTCGCGACTTTCAGTAACGTGCTGCCATCCTACGGAATAAGTCCCAACTTTCAAATGGGACTATGGCCCTTCCGATGCAATTCAAAATTTTGTAAATTCAAAAATTTTTTTTTTTAGATACAAAATGAAAAAATTTAATACCAATTGTAACGGTCTTTTTTTATAATTTTGCGTATTAAGAAAAAAAAATTTTTTTCAACCAAATTTTGATTGGATAAAGAAGCGATAATTCAACCAGTTTTCGATTGAAACGTCTGTAAATGTAATTTTTTTTTTTATTATTATTATTATTCAAATCTTGATGTAAACCAATCGTCTGGACGAGGTAATTATACATTTATAAACTAACGGACAATAATTGTACAGAGTGAATCACTTCCACTATACATATTATATTTTTGTCTTCTTTTTTAGATACCGTGTGTCTTTATACAATATGTATGGATAATTTGCGGGTATATAAGAGAAGCGTAACATCTGAGAAGCAGATCATTCATTATAATGAAGTGTTAGAGGAAGTGATGAGCATTGTTTCAAGGAAAAATTGCAAACAAATTTTTTTTTTTAATATATTTTCTTCTTTCAATTTTTTCCCTTTTTTTCAGCATATAAACAGAACTATTATATTTATAATGAGAATTTCGTTCTAGAAGCATAAATTAGACTTTAATGTGAGATTATTTCATAAAGCGAGGGATGTAAAATTCTACAACTGGGAATTTCAAAAGCGAAAGTATAATAATTTATAAGAAGATCTGTGTATTTTACCATGTGTGTGGTATTATTAAAAAAAAGATGGGATCTATAGAAATAATATTGATAACATTTTATCATTAATGCTTATTACAATATATTATAATATATAATATAGTTAATAACAAGCAAACATATTTTACTGAATAATATAATAGGAAATTTTTTAAAAACTGTTCCCTTTCACAACTTCTTTTTTCACTTCTTTAATATTGTGGAATATTCTATTAATTATCGTCTCATTCATAAAACATCTGAATGACAATGACACGAATTAAAATACAAAACTATTTATTCGAAAGGAAAAATTTTTAAGCAAAAATCAAGTATAGAATTTTTCAAAGTAGAAAAATGGCGAAAAAAAATTTTATATTTTAATTTTTTAATATAGAACAGGAAATCATCCTTTTAACATAATCAGCTGCTTTCTTGAAAGGTTCTTAGTCATTAGTAAAGTATACTTAGCGTGAAGTCACTGTCGCGTGGTTTCAAGGTCAAGGCAAGGTTGACACGCGCCTTGCCACGATTCGCGATTTGCCAGTGGGGGGTCGCATTTGATTCTTTTGTCATGTCACGTCTGAGATGCACAATCATATATACATATATATCATCTTGAAATTCTTACATCAAATAAAAAGTGTTATCGAAAATAGAAAAAACAAAAAATTTCCAATAATTCTTTAATTAATTTCTATTAATTAAAACAGAATATTTTTGTAATTTTTTAGAATTGAGTTAAAAAAAAATTGAATATAGTAGAAAAAAAAAATTATTAATAATTGTCAATTTTTGAAAAGTTTCAAAAAATATTTTCAAAGAAAATATAAAATACAATTTATATTTCATTTTTTTTTCTTCTTCAGGAAAGTAATAAAATAGCGTTGCCATCAGATTCATTCAAAGAAAAAGTATTTTATTACAATCGATGACATTCGGGTCAATTTTTAATGAAAACGAGTAATTTAGATCACTTGCATATGTGCGAGTAATTGAAATTATTATTTACTATACAAACAGGCCATAAAAGTCACTCTTTTTGTCTATATATATATATATTTTTTTTTTGGTTTTTTGTATGCATTTATGAATTCATAATCTTTTCATAAAGCACGAGGTCAATAAATAATTTATTGTCATTGCTAAATCATTGTACCTTGTGTATCATTTTGTTTATACAAATAATTAATATTAAAAATATTTAAAATTTTCTGAAAATTAATTAAAAAATTGTCAAATTTTAATTAATTAAAATTACTATCAATATCGATTAATTCCGATTTAGAAAAAATTTCCAAAAACAGAATATTTTTTTTTTTTTTTTTGACCGAATTTGTCGCATAGAATTAGATTTGCATCGAAGGTCAATAAAACGATTGTGAGAGTAAAATGATAAATACCTTCGGCGCATATTTGTAAATTTATCGATATATAGAGAGCATTATTAAGCCGTCAAGTGAGTGATTGTAATTGGACGTTCACCTCGCATTCTTTATAATTGCGACAACCTATACAAGACCTTGATAATATATTACATTTTTTTTTTATCAAGGATTATCTTTGCATGAGGCTATAATATCAGAGGGGGTTTTTTTTTTTTTTTTTAATTGTAATAGTCCAATTCTCTGTTGCATTGTTTAGTATTTTTTTTAACGCTATACTGGCGTCTATAAGATTGATAAAACAAAAAGATAAATGAGTTTTTTTTTTATAATACACAATCACTGACTGACGATTTTATCAATTTTTTTCTTTCGATAATAACAATAGTACATTCATTTCCGAGCAAGATATATATACATAACACATTTGTCATTTCTAAGAGTCTTGTGAATTGTTATCAATTTTATTGAATTCGCGCGGAATATAAATGTTTCATATTGGAATGGAAATTTTTTTTTTTTCGACGATTATCGATATGATGTCAAACTGATTGTCATCAGTGCAAAAAAAAAAAAATTTGCGAAAATCGTTTTTTTTTGTGATATCATACATCTTTTAAATTACTTTTTTCGCCAATCTTGCTTTTAATAATAATAAATAGGCTTTTTGTATCAATTTTTAAAATCTTGATATAAAATGTTCCAAGTAAGGAAAAGAGTTTATTGCGTTCTTTTGTTTGTTCTTCAGGAAAATAATTTATTTGATACAAAAAATTATTATTTGTATGAAATAATTTTCAATTAAATTGCAAAATTATTTGATTCAAGTAAATGTTTATTTGATAATAGTAAAGAAAGTTCTTTTTTTTCGCACAGGAATATTACCGGAATTATACAATTCTCGGACGGGATATATAAAAACGAAATACATACATCAATTTTTAAATGTTATTATTGACATCGGATAAAAATATGGCTCAAGGAGATTTTTATTCTTCGAATCAGCATCCTTTCTCGGTTTCAAAAATGACTTGCATAACGAGTTACTGGACCCCGGTAGTGCAGGTATCAATGTAATTACACACATAAACTGCCATTTACACCGCACATAGCGTTGCGTAATATACCATCGGAAATGTTACAAGATTGGTCCATTGGATCGCATCTCACGTTCCGTGATTTCTTATGAGTGGCAGCATCCCTTAGATAGCAAAGGCGTTTATGGCGGCATTGCCATTCGAGACTCTCCTCGATATAATCAAAAACCTTTGGCAGAAAGAAACCGAGAGTCTTGTACGAGTATATACTATATATATTATATTGCTTTCATTGGACGAGTTTGGGGCCACGTTTAGGACACAAGACGTGTCGGAACCCGAAACGCACAACAAAAAGTTCCGGATCAATCGCAATACACGAATCGTTCAAGATCGTTACATTTCGAATTCTGCTTCTACAAATTTTTTTTTTAATTTATTTTTTTGAAATAATGTTAACATAACTAATTTCTCATGTTTTAAATTATTTTTCTTAACTAGTAGATTTTATTCTAAACTCAAAAAAAGGTATCCTATTTTGAGGATATTAATCCTCTCAAATCTAGAGAATATTTGAAAAAGTACAAAAAAAAAATGCAGATAGAAAAAGAGGAATTATTTTTTCTGCTATTGTTTATAACTGTAATAAAAATAATAATTTTTTTTAATTATATTTTTATTATTATCATTCTTTATTGTTATTAACTTTTTTTTCTTTCTACTATATACACACATATATATATATATAAAGCAGGTTTTAAAATGAAGTCACCAGACGCAGAATAATCAACATTTGATATGCATTGTCTGCGAAATTGAATTTATACAAGAATTTGAGCCAGTCATTCTCATTATAAATCAGCACCTTTCATATATATATATATATATATATATATATATATATATATATATATATATATTTGAGAGGAGTAATCTGAATAATCCAAATTAAAAAAAGAATGGAAAAATTGAATTCAAAATTTATAAAACAAAAAATTAATATTTAAAAACATAGATAAAATAAAATTTCAATTTTTATAAATATATATTTATGCAAATATTAGGAACAATATAAATAATAAGAATGGGAAATTTTCTGTTTTTTAAAAAGGTAAAAACAAGCAAAAGAAAAAAAAAAAATTCAACACACATATGTTCTTATACAAATTTTCAATCTACATTTGTAAACATCAA